GGACCTGCTCCTGGAGGTGCGGCTGGCCCGCAGGAGTCCCCCTGGCATCTGCAGTCATGAGTTCTTGGATGGAGGTGCCCAGTCCGTGAGCTGCTGCTTCCCACCTCAGACCAGAGTCTCGGTGGGCGGAAGCCAGGGGACAGAGGCTTGTCACTGATGCAGGGAGTCGTTTCACCAGCACAGCTGGCGTCGACGGGGACTTCCCAGGCACCTGGGAACCTGGGCCCCGGATGCGCAGGCAGAAAGGTAGACCCCGGGCCCTTGCTGCCATGCAGGATGGCCCAGGGTCACTTTTGATGGCCAAGTCCAGCATGGGGCAGCAGGACGTGATGGAGCTCCCACTATCTGTGTCAGTAAATGGCAGGGAGGGCAACCAGAGGACACTTCTCAAGCCCACGGACACTGTGCTGAGGTCCCTTCCATAGAGTCAGCAAAGCCACTGGACCCTTCAGAAATCCCGGCTCCACCTGCTCAGCCACCACCAGGGACCCCTGGCAGCTGAGCTCCGTGAAGAGCAACATGTGGAAAGCAGTCGGCCTGCTGGCTTGGCATGTGAAGGGAGGCCCCACACGTGTGCTGCAGACCAGAAGCCACACGCTGCACCCCACAGGCCAGGCTGCACCCCATAGGCCACTTGCTGCACCCCCCAGGCCACACTGTACCTACCCCACAGGCCACACTGCACCCCACAGGCCACCTTCTGCACCCCACAGGCCATGCTGTACCCCACAGGCCACACTGGACCCCATAGGCCACCTACTGTACCCCACAGGCCATGCTATACCCCACAGGCCACACTGAACCCCATAGGCCACCTACTGCACCCCATAGGCCATGCTATAACCCACAGGCTACCTGCTGCACCCCACAGGCCATGCTGTACCCCACAGGCCACACTGAACCCCATAGGCCATAGTGCACCCTACACACCACTTGTTGCACCCCACAGGCCACACTGCACACCACATGCTATGTTACACCCCACAGGCCATGATACCTGTGCATCACATGTCATATTACACACCACACGCATTCTGCACACCACACGCCATGATGCACACCACACTGCACTCCACACACACGCTGCACACCATACACCCTAATATGTATATACCCATGCCATGTACACCATAGCCATGTTACACAGAACACGTTACACACATGCCATGTTACATATTACACACTACACACATGCCACTCCATAGTAACACACCACAGAGCACATACCCTGCCACACTACTACTATACACTCACCAACCTAGAGGTGGGCAGAGGGGCACGGCCACTAGGTCCTGCCACACAGCAAACCTGGGTTTGCTCAGCCCTGGGTGGGGTGCCGCCGGGCAGGCCTACCTTTGGACGCCCCTTCTCTTTGAGCAGAGTCAGCCCATCCCGCCTCGTGGGCACTTGGTTCTGCTGGAAGCGGGCCTGCATCATGTACTCGAAGGTGCTCAAGTGCTTGGCCACTGCAAGGGGAGGGCAGAGTCACCTGCAGCAGTGCCCGGCACCCATCTGCACCTACAGTGGCCTCCCGGGTAGAGGTCACCCCACCCTGCCCAGGGAGCAGCCCCCGAGGCCAGGACAGGGTACGGCTGGCTGTGCCGGCAGTGGGAGCCTGGCACCTCTCGTGGGAGGGATGGAGTTTCAGGGGCCCTACTGCCCAAGTCTGGGCCCCCAGCCCTATCCAGCATGTTGTGGGATGTCAGCGAGGAACTCCCAAGGACCTCTTGTGCTCCTCTCCCTGCAGCTCGAGGGGCTGTTCCGGAACCCCCTATGAGCCTGGTGGAGGCCAGAGGGCAGCTCAAGTAGGGCAGTGCCATGCCCACCTGGCAGGAGTGCCCGAGGGGTTCACTGCTCACAGCAGATGCGGTCACATGGCCCCCACCTGCCTTCCCCCTGAGACCTGGGCTGTGTGCCTGGTGCTGAGGGAAGGCTGGGGCGGTGCTACCAGTCAAGGAGCCATCGGGCCACGACTCGGGGCCGCCTCAGCCTGCGCTTCCAGAGGGGGCCTGCCCATTCCTCCCTCCTAAAGCTCAACAGGCACAAGTGCAGGGGGCTTGCAGCTGCCCCAGGACATGGCCAGGCCACACGGAGCCCTGCCACAGCCCAGGAGACAGAGGCCCTCCGGGAGGCCTCCTGTGCCCATGCTGTGCTGCCAGGGAAGTGCCTCCTGGCTCCGACTGCTCTCCACACCTTCCTGGCCTTGGAACCTGTGTCACAGGAGGAGCATCTAAACCTCGTTTACTTCTCCTCCTGGGCTGCCCTGATGCCCTCCAAGACTGACCGGGCGCCTGTGCAGCTCCTGGGTCGCACCTGGCCTGGTGAGCTCCACATGAGCATTGCCATCTGATGGTCGGAGTGGGCAGGGTGTGTCAACCCCCCGAGAACCCAAGGCAGAACCCTGTAGAGCAGATGAGCATCCTGCATGTCCTTCAGCACGTCCAGGTGCCAGCGGTCAGCTTGGGCAGTCTTGGACCTGTCCTTGGTCTCCTCCGGGTGTTCTTCCCCTTGTTTGCCTCCGTGGAGCCTCTGCATGGGCACTTGAGTGGCCACACACTCTGGGCACTGAGCTTCACCTGTCTGCTTCATGGCGGAGCCTGAGGGCCCCTGCCTCATGAGCTCCCACCTGGCGCTGGCCCTTGATGGGGGGCTGGGCCTGGAGGCCTGTGCCACAGCGAGGCTATTGCCAGGCCACCTGCCCTCTCTCCTGCCTTCCTGATGACCTGCTCTGATGAAGCCACACCAGTGTGTGACTTGCAGGCACACCGCAGCTACATTGTGCGCAGAGAAACCAGCCTGTCAGCCACGGGATCAGGAGGCTTGAGTGTGGCCATCCACACACATTGCCAGCTGGTCTGCAGGCCTCCGGGCCCCRAGCAGCTGACCAGCAGGGTCGTCCTGGCCAAGACACATCTCTGTGGCACAGCTGAATACCAGGGTCAGATTTCTTGGATGGACAGCATGAAGGTAAGTCCTGGTCTGTCCTGGGAGTTGGAGACAGCCCCTTGCTGCTCTTTGCCCACAGTCCTCCATACCAGCAGGGGCGGAGAGGCCCTCGGTGCTCTTCCTCCCTCTGCCCGCCTCCATGCGCTGGGATGCCCTGGGCACTCCTCTCAGGGGTGTTCCCAAGCCCTCGCCTGGCCTGGTGACCTGAGCACTGTCATCAAGGAGGGTCCAGGATTGAGGCAGTCAGAACAGGAACCTGGGGCCCCTGCCGACTCCCGCGGGAGTCCTGGAGCCCTCCAGGTGCAGGTGCTGCCTGTGCACGGGGCCTTCCTTGCAGACTGGGCCCAGGTGGGTAGGCAGGCACTGCTCCTGAGGCTTGGGGACCAGGTCTGGGTCCTCCGCTGGCCCTGCTCCTCCTGTGGAAGCTGCTGACGCGGAGTGCCTTTGAGTGTCTGCAGCTGGTGGGGGCTGTGTGAAAGACCACTCCCTGCAGAGAAGAGAAGCAGCCAGCACGGAGGCCTCTGCTGGACTCCGGCCCCATGGAGCATCCTCACCCCGTCCAGCCGACATCTGTGCCTCTGAGTCTGGGAGGGCAGGCACCTCGCGGAATTCAGGAGGGGCAGGGCCAGTGCCGCGAGCTGCAGAGGTTAGGTCTGTTGGGACGAGCAGATACTCGGGGRCACACAGGGCCTGCGGCGGGCAGGAGGTCCTAGGAATTCGCGGGACCTGCTTCCCTGGCATGGAGGCACCCAGGGCTCCACTCCAGGCCCTGGAGAATCTTTGGTGGGTCCTGGAGTACAGGAGGAAATTCAAGCTGCAGGGCCAGAGCCCCTGGGCTCCTCCTCAGCCTGACACCCACACCAGGCCAGGTGACTGGGCAGTTCTCGCCCTAGGAGCCGGGTGGGCCTCTTGGACGTCTGGGATGCAGAAGCGAGAGGGTGTTGTACCAGGCTCTCAGGCTCCAGCCCAGGCCCCTTGCTGTGGGCCGGTGCTCTGGGCCTGGGTGTCTCATCTTGGCGTTCCCATGGGAGGGGGCACACTGCTCTGCAGGTCCCTTTGGGCCCCTGGCTGTGTCCATACACAGCACCATTGGCTTTCAGTGGGCCACAGAAGTCCACCATGTTCCGGGGGTCCTGCTTCCCTACAGAGACCTCCTTCCTGCCATGTTGAGAGCCACAGCCAAAGGGGCCCTGGCAAACTTCCAGCTGCCAGCAAACTTCCATCTGCCAGCTGATGATTGGCTCACAGCGGCCCCAGCAACATCTAGCTGATTGGCTCCTCTGCGGTGATGCTCATTGGGCTGTTTCCCTGCCCTTTCAGACCACGGAGCTGCTCATTGGGGGACTTCTTTGGCTCCGCCCACGCGACCCAGCCAATCGGCCTCAAGAGCGAGAGGATTGTGGGAGGTGGGGAGGTTGGTGTGGGTGAGAGGCTTGTGGTGGCAGTTGGGCTCTGAGGGTTTTTCCTGAGGAGCTGTTTTGTTTGGCGTTTTTAGTTCTAAAAATAAAGTTCATTTCTTTTGACAAGTGGCTCCTGATTGTGCCCAGCCAGACTGCGGCACTGCCACAAGCAGAATCCAGGGTCCCGCAGTGCCCATCAGGCTGGGCCCACCACTCCAGAGGCACCCCGGCTCTCACTGCCTGCCACAGGGGCTGATGGCTACTGGACGTGCCCAGCCGCCTCCCCCCACCTTCACCGTCCACACTGTCTGCATCTCCTGGTCTTCATCCTCTCACCATGGCACAGCTGACCCCACACTCCCTCCACAGCAGGGCCCACTGCTGGCACACAGTGGCCTGACCCGTGCTCACCATCACACAGCCCCTGGGCACTTGGGGCTGTCATCCTGCAGGTGTAGAAAGGACTCCAGGCCTGTGAGGCCCTCGGCACGCAGCCCCAGCCTCTGGCCCTACCTGGGGGTCTGGAGTGAGCGGTGTTGGCCAAGAGGGGAATAAATCCTGGGTGGGCAGACCCCAGGAAAGACTGCAGTCAACGAATCTGAAGGCACTGACACATAAGATGTTTCTAGATGGTCTAGAAACCCTTCCCAAGGTGGCCCGGGGGACTGCCCTTCCTCCAGAGATCTAGTTGCAGAGAACATGAGGTCCTCGGGAGGGCTCCATGTTGATAAGACAGCACCTGTCTCTGGCGGACCTGCCCAGTCCAGAGGGGTCAAGGGTCACTCTCTTCCAGCAACACAGACCTTCTGTGTACCCCACTGACCTGGCCATTCCCAGCCCAAGCTCTGAAAACAACACATTATGGCCCCCACAAGACGCAGTCAGAGGGTGACGTCAAGGGCAGGACCACAGTGCTCCATGCTTGGGGCAAGATGTGTTACCAGCCTTCTCCTGGGTGGGGACACTATGGGGCCACCTGTGGGGCCTCCCCTCTGCCAGGCCCAGGAAGGGTGGCAGACACAACATGGTCAAGGTGAGGCCCAGAGCCTGGCCTGGCTCCACCTCAGAGCAGGCCTCTGTCAGAATGACACCCCCAAGCCCACTGCCCCGTCTGTCACTGCCCAGAGAACAGGAGGCTCCTGGTGGCAGCATGGCAGAGGGCGGGCGGTGCACGGCAGCCTGGCTCTGCATGCCCAGGGTCCTCCGGCTGTGTCTGGGAGGGGCTGTCCGGCCGGCTGGGCCTCTCCTGGGTAGGGTGTCTGCCTGGGGCTCTTCCAGTCCACGGCTCTTTTCCGGTCCTGCACTGGTGACAGTGCTGCTCCCCGACCCTGCACATGTCTGACTTGTCTTGACACCTCGGCAGAGTCCAGCCCTTCACAGGCCTGCTGGGCCTGCCTGGCCTCCTTCCTTCCTGTGACCCACCCTGGGCCCTGGCTCCTCTCTGGCCAGGCTGCCCAACGCACCACCTGCCTCGGATCGGGGAAGGCGAGCCCTGTCAGGTACGTACTCAGGTACAGGTGGAAGAYGAGCAGGTGCCCGAGCAGCACGAAGCTGGTGGAGCCCAGCAGCAGCACCACCGTGAGGATGGAGAAGACCACGGGGGTCTTCACCTGCACGGGGCACAGGGGCAGGAACAGCAGCCACTGGTTGGAAGACCTGACATCTGTGGAGACACGGGAGGCACCTGCAGCCAGCACTGCTGACCGCCGCCCACCCAGCCCAGGCAGGCCCCCAGCTGCGCCCCACCCCTGCCCAGGGCCCAGGGATCTGCAGGTGAGGCTCAGGGAGGAGACGGCCACCTGTCCCCTAGCACTTCCCTTCCCACAGGCCCCGGGCCCCTCTGTCCCTGGTCAACCTGGCAGGCCACAGCCCTGCCTGGGGGCATTTCCCGGGCAGGGCCTTCTGTGAAGGGCTGCAGTGCTCAGAACCACGCTGTTTCCAAACTCAGGTGTCAGAGGGCCCTCAAGGGCTGTGGGTCCAGCTGGGCAGATCTGGATGCCCAAGGTGACCTCTGCCCCATGATGTGTTCTAGGTCAGGACTGGACTCTTTCTAGACAGCTTCCCGCGTGTGCCATCTGACAGGGAAAGCCTCATGGCTGCCTCATGGTCAGGTGGGGACACTTGATGCCAGCCCACTTATGTCCAGCACTGGCATGATGAAGTCCAGTGCATGAGAGGCCATGCCTCACGGAGACTTCTGGAACAACGAGCCAGGAGTTTGCCTCAGCCACGCACAAGGAGCCGCCTGGAGCGGCCCAAGGGCTCCCTGAGACACACCACACCCCGTGACCGGGCAGACCCACGGCCACGGCCCCTGCTCTTCCCCTCGCAGCTGCCTCGTGCCCCACAGGAGCAAGGCCAGTGTGTGGTCTGGACGACCTCTTTCCCCAGAGGAGAGAGCATCGAGGTGGTTCTGGTCTGTGGGGTCAGCCACCAGGGGAGGCAGCTTTTGGAAGTCCTGGGCGGGGAATGGGCACACAGAGGCCGAAGGCCTTCCCTGGACCTCAAGGTCATTCCTGGAGGGTGTTCCCACACGGTGGCTCAGGAGTGTTTCAGAACCAGCCACCAGCARGTTCTGCCCCTCCTGCCATAGAGCTGGTGTTCCTGTGGTGCCTGGGGCTGACATGGCCAGCCACACTCTGGCCCCACCACAATGCTCCTGGTCAGTGTCCTGGGCTGTTGTGACAATGACCACAAGCTGGTGCCCCCTCTATCGGGCCCACTTTGGAAGCAAGTCTGGAATCAGAGTGTGCTGAGCCACACTCCCCCAGGCTCCCGGGAGGTCCTGCTCTGCCCTCTGGGGGCTCTGGCAGCCCTGGGTTGGTGGCCACTGGCTTCAGCCCCCACCTCCATCTCCTTCTCCACAGGGCCTGTGTGTGTCTGTCCCTCCAGGGCCTGATCCTGGGTTGGGGCGAGCTCCTCATGGGCACACCTCTACACATGATGCCCTCCTGGTCCTGAGGTCAGGACGTGGGCGTGTGTCAGAGGCCAGGCATGGCCTGCCCATCTCATCTGCTCCAGAGCAGACTTCTGCACCCAGCCTGGGCTGCCAGACCCACCCAGTCAAGTGCTGCCCCGGAGCCTGCAGCTCTGCCTCCCTGGCTGCTTCTGCTCCTGGCAAGGCAGGCCCCTGCTGCTCTGCCCCTCGTGGCTCAGAGTCTGGCTGGCCTGGGCTCAGTGCTGATGGAGAGGTGCCGGAGGGCCGGGGCACATACCCACCCTGCCTGGACGCAAGGCCTCAGAGCAGCACGCCTGCCCCTGGGCCCGGGACATCACTAGCCAGAGTGTGGGTGCTGGGCTGCTGCTCAGCTAGGGAGAGCCTGGGGGCACGGGGGCACCCTCAGACTGAAGACTCTCCCAGGAAGAAGGCTGGGGCAGAGCTTGGCCCAGAGCCCCAAAGCCCGGGAGGCCTACCTTGGTACAGGGGGTCCATGCGGAGCTTGGTGGGGTTGACGAAGTTCTGGATGACGACGTACAGCAGGAGGACCATCAGGCAGAACAGCCCACACAGGGCTGAGGCCACAGAGGTGAAGAAGAACCTGAGGGAGGAGCAGGGACGCTGAGGCACCCCGCCAGGACCTAGCCAGAGCAGCAGGCCTCCCGCAGCCCCGTCCGCCTGGAGCAGGCGCACCCAGATCCAGGCCGCCTGCCACTGGGCCTTCCTCCATCCATCCTGCCCTTGTTCTTTGGACCATTCTTTCAAGTCTGCAGGCTGACGTCACTGGCCGTTGTGACACTGGTCATGCCCCATGCCCCCACCTGAGCCTCTCTGTGTCCATCCTGTTGCCACGGACAGCAGAGCCCAAGGCCTTGTGGAACCTCACAGAGCTGCTGCCTTCCAGAGCGTGTCCTCCTCACTGCCCGTCCTGCAGGTGCTGTCCCTCTGTCCCTTCCTGCCTTGTGCCTTGGCTCATCCTCTGCAGGCAGTCTGCAAGGCCACGTGCTGATCCCTGGGCCAGGCATGTCCCCTCCCTCACTGCTGAGGCACAAGAGCATTTCCCAGAGCCCTGCGTGTGTTCTGTCCACTTCAGGGGCCAGATGACATTCTAAATGCCACTCTTCTCCTGCTTTCCTGGCCTCCAGGGGATGAAGGGACAAAGAAGCTTGTGCCAGTCTGGGGCCGGTGCTGCCCCAGGCCCTTGCCTGTGTGACCTGGAGCTGGGCTCACCATGGTGTCTTCTCAAGAGCAGACCCTCCCTAGGCCCATGTGCTGGCCTTGCCCGAGGCCTCTGCTGTGCCAGGCTGCTCAGGCACCAAGGGGTGCAGCCCGCCTCTGCCCTTGCCGGGCAGCCCCCYTCAAGGGGTGCAGGTCAGGGCCTCTCAGGCCCGTCCCACCACCTGGCTCCACCACTGCTCTAGTGCGGGCCACTTGGGGCCCACGTCTGGGCCTGGCATCACTGCACCCTGGTGCCTGGCAGGACAGTGAGACCTGAGCTCACAGCTCCTACTGTGGCCGGTGGGCTGCCACGCCGCCGGGCTGACCAGAGCCTGGTCTCCCGCGTTAGTCCAGGGTGGCGGGCACCTGTTTCTTCCCAGTGACGGTCATAGACTGCCGAGCTGATGTCCACCCTGGGCCCAGGCACAGCGGACTGAGCACGCCATGGACCCTCTGTCCAGTGACCCAGGGGCACCTCCATCCTGCACCTGGTTCCTCATTTACATGCTCCAGGTCTGGCCACCGCTCCTGGGGTGGAGGCCTGGGTGTGGAGAGGTGGGCAGGCCTAGGGAAGCAAGCAGGTCTAGGGGGCTCTCTGGTGACTAGCCTTGTCATGTCCAGGACGGCTCCACCAAACATGTTCCAGGACAGTGAGGCTCAGGCCCTGAGCTCTACCCCGCCGGGGTCAGGGCTGTGGTCCTACAATGGCCCTTCTCCCATGGTGCCCTAGGCCCACCCCCGCCCCCGCCCCCGGCCGGCCTCCACCCGGCGGTCCTCTGCCAGCCTCACCAGTAGTTCCTGCTCCCCACACAGTTGTTGAGCCATTTGCAGTGGTGGTCGAATCCCGAGACGCACTTGTTGCAGGAGCTGCAGTGCTTGGCTTTCTCGCTCCTGGAAGGGAAGCAGGAACCTGCTAGCCCAAGGGTGCAGACCCACAGGGTCAGGGCCCACCTCCTCAGGCCCGGCGGGGCTGGCCCAGGAGAGCTGGCCCCATGTGGTCTGGGAAGGGAGGCTGAGGCCTCCACCTGGAGTCAGGAAGGGCACTGGAGGCCTGTTGGGGAGGGATCGTTGCTGGACTCTGTGGCTGCACAGTAGGAGGAGCCCACCCCGGGGGAAGATGGCTGCCCCTAGCAGCCCAGGTATGCTGATCCACACCTGCCACACGGTCCCAACCATGCCTTCTGAGCTGCCCCGCACCCCACACAGCCTTGCCATCTCCCGACACCAGTGCCCAGGGCCCTGAGACCTGGGACACTGACGGGCACAGCTGTGATGGCCACCCTCTTCCCTGGGGGCAGGCTCATCTGGAAACCTGGGGAGGATGGGGAGGACAGCACTGAGTGAGGGGTGAGCCAGGCTTGAGCCCCCCTCCAGGAGACCCGCCCTGCCTCTGGATGCAGGGACAACGGAGCATCAGCCCCACGGTGAGCTGTGAGGAATTAAATGCAGCCATCCAGGGACGGCACCCCAGGCCAGCCCAGCCCCAGCCCCAGCAGGATCAGCTACTGTCTCTGAGCCCAGCCCCAGCCCCAGCAGGATCAGCTACTGTCTCTGAGCCCAACCCCAGGAGGTGGCCCTGGCACCTCGGGGGCCTGGCAGGGCACTCACACAGTGACCTCACACAGGTGGCAGTACTGGTTCTGGATCACGTGTGCATGTTTGGACCGGTCGAAGGTCGGCACGGGCTGGGCATAGCTTTTAAGTCGCACGTTGACTTCGGCCGGGTCAATGGTAACAGCAATCAGGTGGACCAACATGTGGAACAGGAACACGGCTCCCATCACCTGGGCTGTCAAGGAACACTCGGGCTGGCCTGGTCAGTGTGATGCAAGGTGTCCCTGCAGCCTGGCTGGTGGCAGGGACAAAGGAGGGCCCTTTGGATCCTGGGTCCAGCACTACCTGCAGCCTGCACCTCTGGCAGGTCCGCAGAGCACACCCAGACCTCCAGGGGCTCGGCTGGGCTGCAGCTGAGCAGGGGGCACACACGTCCCGAAGCCCCCGTGRGAGCCGGAGCCTCGCAGGGCTGGGGAAAGAGGCAGCCCCAGCCGCAGGCCCCCGGGGCCTCTCAGCAGTGCAAAGTGGGGCATGGCCCAGGGGACGCCTGCTTGCCAGAGGCACTCCAGCCAGGCGGCCAGGACGAGGCGTCCAAAACCAGCCTCAGCTTAAGTGGAGGGGGCTGGGCCCCTGAGGACCCCCAGATCCTACTTCTTCTGGCCCAGGAAAGCAGACAGAGGGCTGTGGAGCATAGGGCTCCCGTCTCCCTGCTCTGGCTCTGGTCCCTTCCCAGACGGAGGCATGGAGCCCCCAGGCACCTCCGGAGGGAACAGGTGGGACCCTGTCCCACAGGCTGCCACAGGCAGGCCACCTTTTGAGCCAGGCTTTGAGCCCAGGCCTGACTCTGCTGCAGGGACCTTCATAGCAGAAGCCTCTCCAGCTCCTTCTTGGGGCTCAGGGTCTACGGCCTGGCCCATGGCCCTCAGCTCTATCACAGAGCCCCATGGGCTCCGGGGTAGGCTTTGTGCTGGGGACGCTTCCCACAGGGTTCTGAGAGCAGTGCTCCCTGGTGACGACTAGGCGCAGAAGACGCTGGTTCTGACCCACCCGCGGCAGGCCCAGTGCCGCTCTGTCCTGGAGCTGGGAAAGACTCTCACAGATGCCCCTGAGGAGGGCGGAGCAGAGCCAGCAAGACACCAAGAGGGTCAGGCAGCATGCCCAGGAGGAGCTGGACAGCAGGGTGGGGAGATGATGAGTGCTGGCCAGGCCCAGGGAACATCCGGAGGAACGAAAAGAGGTCCTGTCAGACTGCGTGACAGGCACAGAGGTCTTTCCCACACTCCTCTGACCCCCCAGTGCTGGGGTGAGGCCAGYACCACCCTGCCCTGGGCAGAAGAGGCTGAGGCTGTGGCTCCCACAGGGTGAGGGTCAGCAGGGCAGCATGGTCAGTGGACCAGGTGCGGGGCTGGCTCTCATGTGAAGCTCTGACAGAGCACAGCCCAGCATATCCCTGCAGGCCAAGCTGAGGGCAAGAGGTGCTACTGCAAGACCCTGGTGGGTGAGGGTCAGGGACAGACCAGACAGGAAGTTGCACTACCTGGAGCTACAACAGTCCTCACCTATCTGGAAGCCGGTGAGCAGTTGGGGCCGGGCAGGGAAGGCAGGCAGGACAGGTCCCTGTCCCACACCCACCTCCACCTCTCCAGACCCACAGCCTCATCTCTGTGAACACCTGGGCCACTGTGGGAAACAGGAGGCTGGTCCCCTGAGCCTCCAGGTGGAGACGCTCACACCCAGCCTGCAGGTGCTGTGGCCAGGGCCACCCTGACAGAGTCATCTGGGAGAGAAGGGGTCCCATTTCCACAGGGACCCGGGGCTGCCAGGATAGAAGTTGCCCCTGGACATGCCCTCTGGGCACGAAGCCTTTCCTGGGAGGAGAGAGCTTAGGCTCAGTTCCCGCGTCCTTGCCTGCCCTGCCTGCCATCAACAGGCTTGGAGCAGGTCCAGAAAAGCACATGGTCTGGGGTTGTCCTCTTGTGACATTCATGTCACCCACAGGACGGTGTTGGTGACCTTAATGGATTACACAGTGATCACGACGGCCTGGCTGGCTACTCTCAGCCACAAGCTGGGGAGCCACCAGGGGCAAGCTGGGACAGGAAGTACCTCCAGGGCGCGGGGCCTGCCTCTGCTCCTGCCCTCCAGCCACCCCCCAGCAGCCTCAGGCCGAGTGGGGAGTAGAAGGGAAAGAGTGGGGACCCTCCCTCTCCTGCGCAGGGCCTCCCCTGCATTTTCGGCCTGGAGCTGTGAGCCGAGCTGGAACATTCCCTAGCAACAATCTGTGTTTGGTAAACAAACAGCGGWAGGGCGCCAGCCCAGCACACACGCCCTTCGCCCTGGCCGCTGACCTCTCCTGTCCTGCTCTGCGCAGGAAGAGCAGCGTTCCCAGCGCTGGGTCACGTACTGTCCCCCTCCAGCAACCACAGCGGAGCTCTCAGGCTGGGGACAGGAAGCCCGAGCCCACTGCCACCTTCACACTGCCCGCCCACAACATGGGCTTTGCAGAGGTTTCTCCAGATTAAATACAGTCCCAACCCCTCYACATGGTGCCCCTGAGTCAGCTGTGCAGCCCTGGGGCCCTTCAGGTCGGCGGCCTGGAGCTCCTTCCAGAGTGGGCTGCCCCCTGCCGCTTGCCCTCTAGAGTCCACCCACTGCTGCCCAGAGTAAACAACGCTGGCGCCCCCCTGTGGCCGCAGCACAGCACCAAGCCCTGTGGCGGGAAAACTGGTCCTGAAGGCAACCAGGCCCTGGACAGAAGGACAGGGACGCTGCAGGACAGAGATCTGAGCCGCCCAGGGTGGGGCCCAGGCTCCTTGAAGAAACAGAGAGGTGGGCTGCAGAGGCCCCTCCAGAGAGCTCAAGCCCCAGGGCCACAGCAGGGGCCACCAAGGTGCACAGAGGAACCACAGGTTGAGGGTCGAGCCCTGATTCCCAGCTCGTGAACGGGGCCTTGCACAGAAACAGGGTCTCAAGATGGTCAAAACAAGGGTTTTAGAGAAGCCCTGCAGGTCTCATAAGAAGGGGGACAGGCCAGAGACAGACCCACAGGTGGCCAGGTGACCTGAGGACACAGGGAGAGGCCAGTGGACACAGGGAGAGGCCAGGGCCTGGGGATGGGAGAGAGCTCAGCCCTCCTTCACCCTCCCGTCAGCCATCTGTAGCAGAACGGAGGGACACGTCTGCTGCTGGTGTGCCTGGCAGAGCCATGGCTCTCGTGTGACCCTTGCAGAGCGGTGGCTCTCGTGTGCATGGAGCTGGTAACACTGGAGGCAGAGGCCCAAGAGGCAGCACAGCTGTGAGGATTGGAGGCCCTCTTGGCAGGGTGTGAGCTGGCCGAGGTGGGCAGCCCCCAGGACTGCAACCAGAGGGGGCTGTGGGCAGAGTGGCACACCCACCGTCCTAGGGCTGATTCTGTCCACTCTCCCTAAGAGCAATGGTGTCCCCACTGAAAGTGCTGGCCCTGTGTGCATGSCTCACCACTACCCTGCTGCCTTCTGCAGAAGCTGCTTGGCCTCCACCAGGCAGGCCACAGGTTGTGCAGCCAGCCTGGATGCCCAAAGACCTGGGGTCAGGGCAAGGCCAGCAGTGGCCAGCAGAAGGCAGGTGTACTRGACTCCAAAGACCAAGAGGCTCTGTGATCATCCTCAAGCCCGAGCCCTGGCCAGATTCTGGGCTAAAAGCCCGGCAAAGGACATGGGGGGCTGGCAGAGATCTGAGATGGGCTTGGAGGGTCACAGGGCCACTGGCTGCTTCTCATGGCAGCGAGACACGGTTCTGTGGGGTGCTCATACCTGGGGCGTCCTGTGCAGAAGCAGGAAGGTGAGCCGGGGTGGTGACCATGGCATGGGAAGCATCCCCATGCTCAGCACGCACAGGAGACCCAGGAGGCCACACTGAGGGACATGGAGATCAACGGTGTGGTCTTGGGGTCCGTGGAACTCTGGGTGTGGGAGGCTCTAGGTTGGGGAGGCTGCCCAAGACAGGCTTTCAGGGTCTGGGGACTGGGGCAGAGGACCGGGGCGTCAGGCCACAGAGGACATTCTCCAGTCCAAGACCAGAGTCTGGGGGATGCCACAGGAGGCAGGAGGGCACCAGGTTCTGCGGAGGGCACCGGGTGGTGGGGAGGGCCACCACCGAGAACTGGGATCGGTTGGCCCAAGGCTTCGGTGCCACACTTTCAGACCCTTCCTCCATGATGCCTGAGCCCCACACTCATGTCCAGGTGTGGTCAGGGTGCAGCTTCCTGGGGCCCCGTGCTGGTGACTTGGCAGGACCCAGGCCTCCATAAAGGGCTCCCCTGGGAAGTGGGTGCTGCTGCCCACCTCTCTGGGGTTCTGGGAGTGGGGATGTGCAGCTGCCCATCTGACCAGTCAGGGCCACCCAGGCTGGCTCTGGGCAGCCTCTATTTCAAATAGAAGTTGAAATCACAAGAAGGACCAGAGGGACGTGCACTGTGACCTTCCTAGCACCTCTGGCTCGGACCCTGGTAGGACTGACAGCCCCTCACCCGCCCACTCCAGAAGTGCAGGCGGCGGGGCCTGGTGCTCAGAGAAGCCCTGGCTGCAGAGGGCATCCCAGACCCAGGGCAGAGCGCCAGGTCTGGGGCGGGCAGCATCTGAACCCGAAGGGGCGCGAAGGAGAGCCGAAGGCACTTGCCTGCCCACGCTTGTGTGCACTGCCTGTGTGAGGGCGTGTGCACTGTGTGTGCCAGCTCTGTGTGCTTATGGGGAAGCCGCAGCCTTAACAGGACACGTCCACCTGGGTGGCCCGAGGTCCCACCTTAAGATGTGGAAGGAGGGGCACAGCAAACCCGTGTCCCGCTGAAGAAAGGGCAGGCACGGGACAGAAAGGAACGTCCCCACGCTGGTTCTCCACGAGAGCCACCCAGGTGACAACCCTAGGACAGCGGAGGAAGACAGGAAGGGCCCAGGCTCTGAGCCTGTTCACCTGACAACTGAATGAGCAGAAAGTCTGAAGAGCACGCCATCTATGACAGAAGCCGCCAGGGAGCACCCCAGGCCACCGAGCACCACTCAGCACCCTCAGTCCCCAAGAGTGAATTCTCAGAACCCCCGGCGACGTGGAGCAGGTGCACCAGAGGCGCTGTGTGGGCTTCCGCAGGACGAGCCACTCGCTGTGGAAAGAGAGCCCCGTTCAGCTGGATGGCAGCAGCCCGGGGCCACACTGCCCCCGCACAGGGAGGAGCCAGGCGCAGGCCCGGGCGGCCTCSGTGCTGGCAGGAGGCCCACTGCACACGCTCTGCCTTGGAAGCAGCCCACAGTGGGCGCTTCTGGAAAGGACACCCAGAGGCAGAGCCGACCCGGCAGGGGAGCGGGGTCCTGGCACGGCTGCGTGCCAGGTCCTGCCGCGCCTCCTCCCTGCCCACATCCCACACCCTGCGCCTCTCCCTTGCCAGACCTGCGTGGGCAGCCAAAGCAGAGGGTCGCCTGAGTCGATGGTGGCTCAGTGAGGGCTCTAGCACCCGGCCATCAGGTGTGTCCCCCAAGCAGGCCCATTCCGCCCCTGTCCACTTGTCCTAAGGTCTCAGTGACGGGGGGCGCCTGGGGCTTCCTGACACATGCCATGGTCAGCGGCCTGACAGACCATGGCATTTGGCAGGAGGTCAGCCCAGAGATGGACACTCTCCACCTGGGCACAGCTAACAGGCCATCTGTGACTTAGCCACAGGTGTCTGACTCCACACACCAGAGCTAGCTGTGAGGCAGGGCACTCGGCAGGACCGTAGAGACACCTGCCCGAGCTGCACGGTGGAGCCTCGGCGTCCTCAAGTCCCTTCCTGCTGTCCTTGCTGTCCTTGGGGGATGACCAGAGTGGGCCCCTCAGTGTCCTGGGGGAGCTGGCTGAGGCAGGCCCCACCCTCTCCTGTGCTCACCACTCAGTGTCCCCTGCCACTGCAGGCCAGTGGTCACCTGCCAGGCCTGAGCATGGGCTGCACAGGGAGCCCCTGCCCATGGTGGCCCAGCGGTCGGGCAGCTGGCCTGGCCTGGGCAGGGGCAGAGCCACGGGCGGGCCTGCTGGGGGATGGGGCCTGCTCATCCCCCTGACGCAGGCGGCCTGGGGAGCCCCACCRGGAGCAAGGATACAGCGTAGGCAGCGAGCTTCCAGTCCAGGGGCAGGAAGGGGATGAAGATCCCGAAGCTGGTGACACACATGACCAGGAAGATGGCCCAGCATACCACCTGGAAGGAGTGCAGAGGGGGCGACCAGCCGTTCACCCTGGACAGGTGGTGCGGTGGGGTCTTCACAGAGCTGCCCAGGTTTTCAGGGACAACCTGCCTCTGGCTCTTACAACAGATGCCCATCTGCAAGACAGAGAGGGGCACCGGGCACTTAGGGTCCTAGCAAGGGCAGGTGAGCTGCAGCACCTCCCGCCATTCTCAGGGAGACCACTTGGACCAGGACTGCAAGTAGACACCCCGCATGGCCCAGGGTGACTGCAGCAGACTCTGGGGCCTGCTGGTGGGGAGGGGTCCAGCCCACAGGGGAAGCTGCCCCAGGTCACAGCCAGCATGCTCTGGGCATAGCCCAGGGTGCTCTATGAGCTGCCCCACTGGCCGGACCCTGGTCACCAGACACGACGGCAAGCTCCGGGGAAGCCCTAGTCAACGCTGCTCAGCCATGAACCCTGGGGCTCCTGTATGGACAGACAGGTCCWTCAGAGGCCAGGAGAACCCTGCCTCCTGGGTGAGCAGGGAGGGGCAGTCAGGAGCAAGCAAGGTGGTGCTGCCTCAGACGTCCACTGGGGAGCTCTGCCGGACTCTAGGTCCCCCTCCTCAGGGACCGGAACCTGGCACCCACAGAGCTCCGGGACACCACTCTGGAGCAGCCCTGGCAGCCATCAGGGAGGAGGGTGCCTGAGTGGGAGAAGGGACAGCAAGATGGTCCACAGCTGCAAGGTGGCCTCGAGTCGCCTGGGAACCTGGCCATAACACAGCTGGGCAAAGCCCTTTGTGGCCCTTGGGGAAGCCAAGTCTGCAGAGTGTGGCTGATGCTGAGTGTCACCTGGAGGTGACACTCTGCACTGCATTCTGAGTGTGACCAGTGGACAGAGCCACAGGGCCAGCTTCATGGGAGACAGAGACAGGCAGGCAGGAGGCAAGACCAGGCTGTGGGAGCCCAGAAGCAGCCCTGTGGCTGGAGACCCAGCCCCACCCACGCGACAGGAAGAGGCAGGCGAGAGGGAATGTTGGAAGAAGACAGCAGGCGGGTGTGGAGGACCACCACCCTGCGCACTGGGGTCTGCTGGCGTGCCACTTGCCTGGCGACCACTCAGGGCTGGGTGTGAGCCCTGGATCCACCCCAGCACTGGGAAAGGTCTCACCACCCAGAGCAGTTTCAGGACCGGAGTGTCGTCCCCRCCCACACAGCCTGGCCGGGTGGTAGAGCCAGTGGAGGACAGGGCCTCTGAGCCCAGAGCAGGGGAGGGCTCTCCAGAAGAAGGGGGCAGGGCCACAGGGTGATGCCCACCGCAGCAGAGAGGCGCTGGGCCCAGAGCCAGTCCCCACGTCCCTGCTCACAAGGTTCGATGCCCTTCCGCTAGTTTGGAATGTTTACAGGGGACTGTGGTTTTCTACTTCAAATTCATATTTCTTAGGAGGTCAGAAAGTTTAGAAAAGCCAGGACCAGCCCCAGGCTGCCAGCGAGCGGAGCCTTCCCCTTCCCCCTCCAGAGAGGATGCCTGCCCCCCGACAGTGGAGAGGTGCCTGGGCCCGAGGCTGGGGACAGTTCCCATGAGCACATGTGGGCATTGAGGGACCACTCTACAGGGTGACCAGGGCAGTGCCCAGCATGTCCTACCTCCACGGACCAGCCATCCAGGCCAGGGACTACCTCTGGGCCCAGATGCCAGGCATCGACCTCCTTAAGCCCCAAATGGGTCCTGCCACTCCAGGTCCCAGGTGACCCTCACCAGAGAGGTGGGGAGGAGAACCAGCAGGCCTTGCTGTCCCAGGGGTGAGAGCAGGTGTCCTGCTGGCCTAGCACCTGGAATGCGGAGGCCACCGGGCTCCAGGCCTTGCTGTCCCAGGGTGAGAGCAGGTGCCCTGCTGGCCCAGCACCTGGAATGCG